TCTTATTAGGAAAGTACCAAACAACTGAAAAGGTTTTATAAACTCTCAGCGCAATTTCACCTTAGCCTTGGATTGGTAATTGGCAAAAAAAAACATGTCCATTAAAATGATTATATGCCTTGTGCGGCATATATAATTTCTGTGTCAGTTTTATATGGAAAACTAGAAGAAAAGAACAAAACCTTAGTAGGAGACTTGAAAGACTCTCATGAATTTTAAAGGGTATTTATAATTCGCGCTTATATTTTCTTGCAGAAAAATATACGTTGTTTTTGCTTGCCTTGGCCAGCTTCGTTTTTGTTGTTTCCCAGCACTTATCTGGGTTGTGGGGAGAACAAATTTGTATCTCTCAATGCCTTATCTTTGTCTCAGATATGTGAGCACTAAATATTTCCATCGTTAGAATGAGTCAAGAACGTGGAAGGTGGAAATAAAGCAAAAGAATGACACGAACTTTGAAATGTAATATAAAGGAATTGTCCAACAGTTAAGGAAATATATTTAGTTAAATGAAAGAATTATTCAAAGTGACCCAATTGGCTTCCACATCTTAAGTTTACGTTATTTTAAGCCTGTTTAAAGTTCAATTTGAAGCTCCAGCCCCACAAAGACGCTCATTTTATCTCCGATGTAGTGCTTCGCTTATCTGAACTTTGGCAAAGACAAACAGCTTCTCCGTGGAGCAACCATAGAATTGTTTCGCTCATAATTTCTACAGTTTTGCAACAAGCATATTCTGTGGTAATTATTATTTTGGAGTCGGGGGTTAACTGCCGGCAAACAAAAGCAAAAAACTGATAAAAACAATTAGAAACACCGCTTTGGAATGAAACGAAAAGCCAGCGGAGTGGGAAATGAAATTAGTTTTTGCCGCGTTCTGTTTTTTGGCGATTTCTTTTTTCTTTTAACGAAACTCTTTATTTCGAGTGCTGAGACCAGCAGGATGACATCACTCGGTGCCCATCGCTGCCGAAGATCAAGTGGAGAATCAGACTGGAGACACGTGTCTGATGATTCAGAATCGTCATCTATACTCTCTGTATATTCACACACAGAAAGCTAACGACGGACCAAAGAGAAGCTAAAGTAAGAAAACAAAAAATGAAAGATTGGTTCAAGCGGGGGACCACCGACCTCCCGCGACTTTTGAACTGAACCCAGGGCGGTGATGTCGTCAAAGCTTCATTTTCAACTCGTAATATTTTGCTCTGCCATATAAGGATTTCTTTAAATATAAGCTAAAATTTTCTTTATTCATTCATATTTAAATACAATTTAATTTGCTGGATTTTTTATGTCTTTTAACATATAGCTGTTCCCTGGTTTACTAGTTGCATTGTCATTGTTGTTGGTCCCGACGAATAGTAGACGTCTGACCAAAAGTCAATGACCAAGATCTCCAGATAAATCCATTAAACATGACGAGGCAGAAATATCAGACCACCCACCCTGCCGGAAATGACTGATACAAGCGTTTAAACACCCCTTAAAAATAATTCAAATTTTGGCTTGTGTTTTTAAGCACAGAAACGGAAATTGCAACAGATAAGCTCGTTCTCTGTCTACTAAGCTTAGATGCCAATTTTCTTAGAACGAACTTAGCCAGGTGGATAAGCGCAGGCGGGGATTGGGGGCAGCTTTGTGCATATTGCGCCAGCTGCTTATAAGTCACTCCAAATAATTAAAGAATGGAAACGGGGCCGATGTAGCTATTTAGCTAGACAAATCATCTAGTTTTGAGCTCTGAAATCGAACTATTCCATATTTGAAGGTATTCCCCAATTATAATAATAGCTAATCGAAACTCAAATATATCGATAACGAGAAGGAAACGGAAATCACAAATTTATAGATACCACAATTTGTATCACTTCCAATTTGGAAATTTTTTGAGTTGGAATAATTGGGTTGTAGAATATGTTATTTTCAAGCTTTTCTCAAGTTTTGTATTTTCTATATTTATATACTTTAAATCCAAATATTTTTGGCAACACTCACCCGACAAAAGCCGTGGGGAAGAGTGTAGTGCAGGGTAAGACGGTGAAGCCGAGCTCAAGACTGCAATGCTGCCGCTTGCGATGGAGCTTTTAATTTGGCGTCCGCTTGCTTTTGATTTTGTTGCTAATTAAGCAGCTGTTGCATGCGCTCTGTTTACTCTGTTGCACTCCCGCCGAACTTCCCGACGGATTGCGAAATTATTTGCAAGAAATACGAGCCACCCAACTACAAAGCGAAACACATAATTGAAAGACCAAGTGGGGCCCACGGATTGGATCAGCTGGCCGGTTCCCGGGAACTGTGATATTTCCTGCCGACCGAAGGGTTCTATCTATTCTTTTCTTTTCGCCGAGCACACGACCGCGCCGTCTTAGGCTTCGAATTCAACTGAAGCGGCGAATTGGCCGACGGCGTAGTACCAACTGAGCGCGCCGTGTTCGCCGCTCGACGCTCGCTCACCTGCTCTCTCGCTCGCTCGCGTGCAAGCTTTGCACTCTTCTTACCAACTGATAAGCGGTAACAAGTATATGTTGCCAACGCGCGTTGCCAACTATTGTGGGCCTGTGTGGGCCGTGGGAAAAAGCTATAGCTGGAAAAGCTGCTAAAGCTACGAGCTCTGGTATTTCCCAAATTACATACCTCTTTGGCCCACAAGCTTGAGGGAATTCCCAAGTGAACCGGTTTTGTATGTATGTACTATGTTAGGGTGGTTTCCGGAAAGGTAGAATTAGAAAATATAGCTCCTACCGCCTGATGTGGTGGGATTTGATCGGGGATATGAAATAACTCAACAAAGAAGCAAAGAAAAACTGGAATTTTCTAGATAAATTACGTATACGCCAAGTTGGCAATTTAAAATGTTTTTTAAATCTCCTTTGCATGACCGTTAAGAATGTAATTTAATTTATGTTGAGAAAACTATGTATGTGTCCAAGCATATATGCTTTTTTAAATACTAACTGTCCAATTTAAATTATAAAATACAATTATAAGAATTAACAATAAAAATCTTAAATTTGCTAATTTGCGAAAAGTCGTTTAGAAAAAAGTTGACCCACCACTTGGGGACTCGTGACAAAGCCACAACAATTAATATAAATTTAAGCGTAACGATTATGCGACACAATCTTCATTAATTAGACACAAGTCGAACATAGAACAAATTAGCCAAGGGTTCGCATCCAGCGGTCTCCAACCGACAATGTCATTAACGTCACATCGCTTTGTTCGCCCTTACTCCTCCTCCTCCTCCGTCATTTTCCCTCTCTCTACCATCATTGGGTAAAGGGTGCAGTAATTATATTTACCGTTAATCCAGATTCACCACAAAAAGGAAGCAACTAACGAAGAGGACCATAGACAGAGAGAGAGTGAAAGAAAAGGGTAAAGCAAAGGAGGGGAAAAAATGCAAAAAAGAGCGTTAGTGGATCGACAGTTGTTGGTGATAAAATAGGGTTACAGCGGTCACAATTAACTCACACATTTTTCCCATCTCTTTCCCATTGCTTCTACTTCTATTTTCCTATATCCTTGGATATGGTTAGTCCATGCCATGGAATCTAGGGACATTAAGGGAATATTGAGGTTGTGGAAATAAAAATTAATAAACGACGATTCAGAGAAATTATTGTTAGTTAAGATATTTTAATAATTTTGATATTATTAAAATATTATTTATTATTACATTTAATTTGAGCCTACATTTTAGTTTAATGTTTAAATGAAGAAATATCCCATATGTGAAAAATGTCAATGGGAAGTCTATTTACCGGGTATCTTAGCCTCGACTATACCCAATTTAGTTGTCCCGTTCTGACCTCCATTTACATAGCATTCGATTACGCGTTTTGTTTGCCTTTAATTGCGACACTCATCCGTTTTACTTAGCAGTTTGCAGCTTGTAGAAATCGCTTTTCCCGATTTTCCCTCCTCGACATCCCTTTCCCCGTTTCCTTTGGCATTCGGAATGAAAAGCGTGAAGCGTAAAGTGCGTTTGGGTTCGATTGCCTGACCAAGTGCGGTGGAATGTCATGCTGTTGGATGCGCTCGAAACCCAATTGATTCTCGAACTTTAGCCGGTGCTCTGCACAGATGAACAGGACTAAGGCTGCACAAACCGCAGCTGCGTAAATCATTGGGAAGCTAGCTGCCGCAAACTAAACTGGATGGTACAGTGAACACCTTTCATTCCACTGCCCAAGCTCTAAATCCCTTTGGGTTTATCGAATTAGACAGGTTCGCCTATGAGTATGCAACGGGGAAGTGTTTGGCTTGTGCATAATGCCTAAAATAATACTTAACCTGAATTACTCCTCCCGCATTTTACTTACGATATTATGTATTTCTAAAATATATGATTATATATAACAAAATGCATAGAAATGCGAATTATGGACGCGATGAGATTATGAGATTAATGAGATTATGTTCCTTAATCTTAAAGTCTCTGAAAAAGTGTTTTTATAAACTAGTATTTGCCCAAATTTCTATTAATTTCTATTCTTTTATGAGAAGTTTTATAATTCAATAGACTCACAATAAGTATGTATATATAATATTCAAATTCTGTAAAATCAGAGTAAATATTTAATATAATTTAAAGTAATATGATAAAATCTAATACAACATAAATAATTGTATTTTCAAAGGGAACAATAATCAAAAACGTAATATGTGTTTTAAATTTGAGGGTTATAAAAATGAGAGTCTTGAAATAGCATATAAAACTTGTATGCTCAATTTAAAAATACTACCCTTATTGATAAGGGGAGCCAGCTGATTCGACAGCACTTTCAATTCGGATCAGAGCTGAAGAAATTCTCAGTTCGTCTTTAGTCGTCTGTGCGTTAGAACCCCACAAGTTCCTTAACTTTAGCTTGCGTCTTCTTTTTACTTCCTTCTGCGGATAGACATTATTTAAATGTTCCGAAAATTTATTTAAAGTATTAAATCCAAACATGTATTACTTAGCATTCACGGTTTTTGTGATTTTGCCACTCTCTATGAATGCTTTCAATTTTTCACCTTATCCAAGTCTGGTTTTAAATTTTCCAAAGAATTCGCACTCCGATTTGGGACAAACGCGCAGCTCCTATTTTGGATACACTCTAGTCATCCGACCCTCCAGGTATTTCCTTCTTTACTATAATTATAATTTAAATTAGTTTTATTAAACGTTGCAATTTATTTTCGTAGAAGAAACGGAAAGTTTAATGAATAACATCATAATTCTAAGAAATTTGTATATTGTATCGAAATTTAAACACATTTAAAATGTCTAAAAAAGCCAGTGCAGTGGAATCTCCTAATTCCTATATTGGATATGAAGCATTGCAAAGGTACTATTATTATAGATACATTTTTAATTTTATCAAATTCATTATTTAAGGGTTCTGCCCGTCTTTCCTATGCCATAGTGAGTCATTAGAAGTCTGTTCACAACAATTAAACTTATATTTATCGTGCAAATCCACACTTGAGTTTCATATACTGCTAATAATAACGTATAATGGCTCAACCTTCAAAGATAAGAGCAACTTAGAAGAAGGAGAGTAAAATAAAATGTGTTGTCAGACAATTAGTGTACAAATTACAATAAGTTTTATACAAAAAACTAAAAACTTTTATATTTTTAAACAGTGCGACTAATACTTACAACCAAACCGATAACGAAAAGGTATTACTTATTACTTTGATGAATATGTTCTCTTTCCATTTAAGCATCATCGTAGGGGCTCCCCGCTCCAATTCCACCGCAATGTCGCTAAGAGGTGTCAAAGAGCCGGGAGCGATCTATAGGTGCTCTTTAGAAAAGGATAAATGTAGTCCGTATATGCTAAATAGTCCTGTGCGATCCTCGCCGAAAACTAATAATATACAAGACCACAACGATTTCCAGTGGCTGGGCGGATCAATGGATGGCGGCACCCTGGACACGGATATGCTGATAGCGTGCGCTCCCCGTTTCTACCGTGAAATCATAAATGAATACTATATGACTGGAGCCTGCTATCCATTAAAGGACACGGTTGATAAAAAACCAAAACCTGTTACACCCATCTTCGGAGACCGCGGTAAGCCCGGAACGTATGAAGCCGTGGGAGAAATGGGACTAAGTGCTCATGTGGTGGACGATAACACAAATTTCCTTATTGGAGCACCTATCCAGAAAAACGGCACAGGAGTTATCTTTGTTTACAAATCGGGCAGAACAGACAACGTAGATGAAATAGGACAAACTACACAGCGCAATGACTCTTACTTTGGCTATGCAGTGAGCTCCGGCCACTTTGACAGCTCTAAGATGCTCCGCCTGCTCTATGTGATTACTGCCCCTCAAGCGAACGAGGCATCCGGCGAGGCCTATATCATTAGCCCAGAGTTGCATATATTACATATATTCCAAGGAGAACAGATCGGGGAGTACTTTGGCTATTCAGTGTTGGCAGAGGATCTGAATGGGGACAAGCTAACGGACTTGATTGTCTCGGCACCCATGCACGCCAGGAAGGATTCCGCCGACAATGGCGCCATATACGTGTTCATCAACAAGGGCTCTGTAAGTATAACCTCAATAATATAGAACGCAGATCCAAGTAAACCTAATTAATTGCAGTTCGAGTTTAAGAAGAAAATTGTGAGATCACCATTGGCCAACAGCGCTCGGTTCGGCACAACTCTTTCTCGCCTCGGAGATATCAATCATGATGGATTCAACGGTTAGTTTTGTTGGGGATTTAACACTATACCTCTAAGTTTCTACCAACTAAGACAACTAATAAGTGTTGCCGGTTTTGCAGACGTCGCAGTGGGAGCTCCATTTGCCGGAAATGGTTCGGTGTTCATTTACCTGGGCAGCGAGCATGGATTGCGGGATGTGCCGAGCCAGCAACTTGACTCTCCTGCTCAGCACCCGTCCAAATACGGAGCTCACATGTTCGGACACGGTCTCTCCCGGGGCTCCGATATTGATGGTAACGGATTCAGTGATTTGGCCGTCGGAGCGCCTAACGCCGAGGCTGTGTTCCTTTACCGAACCTATCCGGTGGTCAAATTATATGGCACCATAAGATCGAAGGAACGACAGATCAGGCCGCAGCAGAAAACACTGAATATCACGGCTTGCTACCGACTAAGTACATCAGCCAAGAAATGGGAGGCGCAGGAGCAGGATCTGGCCATTCGGATTGTCGCAGATCCGCACCTAAAGAGGATTACCTTCGTTCAAACGCAGACACATGAACTGAACTATATAGCGAAGGTGAGGCAGAAATGGCAGTGTCGCGAACTAGAGCTGCAGGTGTCCTTTGATCAGAGGGACGTATACAAGCCCATCGATGTGCATATGCACTATGAGATTGTCCAAGATAAGCATGTCGATGAGACAAGTGAGTTCTGTGAGAAATGCGTTGCTGTTGATCCAACGGACCCGAACACTTTCACTGAGAGGATCGTGTTTAATGCAGGATGCTCCTCTGCCATTTGTATCGCTGATCTGCAGCTTAACAGCTCGGATGTGGGGTAAGCTGACGGATGTTCTTATTATTCGATTTTCATAATTTTCCCTTTTCCAGCTCTACCTTCACTTTGGGCAGTAATGACATTCTTCGACTTACCTACACAATCACCAACGCCGGAGAGACCGCCTACCTGCCCCAATTCAAAGTGAACAGCACCTCCCGCCTGACTTTCGCCCAAGTTCCGGGCGACTGCCAGGTCAGTGAAGCCGTCATGATGTGCAACCTTAACGGAGGACAGGCGCTGGGCACAGGTGAGACCGATTCCGTAACCGTCAGCTTCGATGTTAGCCAGCTTAGTGGTGAATCGCTGGTGGTCACTGCCGAAGTATTTAGCACGGGAAATGAGAAAAACATCACGGATAACAAGCACGTCAACGAGATCAGTCTGAGGGAGTTCACCGAAATTGATATCATGGGGTAATATAATCTATTAAACTATTAAAAAACTACTTAAGTATGTTTCTTTTTAAGCAAGCAAACAAGTTCCCAAATATATCTGGGAAACCATGGAGAATCCTTGGAAGTCAAAAATAATTTCGAGATCAAGAGCAACGGACCCAGTGCTGTCAAGGAGTTGACGGTAACCTTGCAGATTCCCATTGCCTATAGGTTAAATGGATCTACGGCCACGATACCCATAATCAACAGAACCAGCGTAAAGGTGCTGGCCACCTACGAGTCCCAGCCGTTGGTTATCGAGCTGTTGAGCAATGAGACGGTAGAGGCTTCAATTGAGGACAGGAATTCAGAAATCCAACGAATTCAAGGCCTTCGTGATCTTGAAATTCCGGGCAACACCTCTTATGATCTTATAAGTGGGAACCTAAGGGGTCAACTGCCGCTGAATCGCACCATTGTCTCCGCCTGTCAGGACTCCGAAAACACGATATGCATTCGGGCATCTGTGCATGGGGTGCGTCTTAGGCCAGGGAACTCTGTTTACCTGAACGTGAGCTACCACGTGAATCTGGGCGAAGTGAATGCCATTTTGCTGAATCCCTGGCAGTACTTTGTCATCCTTACCGATGTGGACCTGGCGAAAAAGGACGATCCCTCTTCCAGTTCTATGGCAATTAGTAAAAGAATAGAGCCCAATGTTATAACCAAGCACTTAAAGGCAAATATTTCCATTGCGGCTTTACTTCCGTCCGCCGCTGTGGGTTTGATTATTTTCTTAGTTATTAACTATGCGATGTACAAGGTGAGTTAGAGTTATGGAAGCCTCAAATTTTACTAACTAAACTTAATTAATTTATTTATTTTGTAGTTCGGCTTCTTCCGTCGCCCCAAGAGGGAAGAGATGCTCAGAGTGAAACATCAGAGTAGCTCAGTAGAAGAGACTGAGTTAAATGAGGAAAATTCGTTGTAAACTCGAATTAATTACTTTGTTTATATACCTTAAATGTCTAAAGCGACGGCAGTAGTAACAAATGTCTCCAATATAAGTTAATGTCTGCAGAAACACATTACCTCAAAAAACGAACTTAAAATATGCAATACCATTATAATAATCTCTGTTAATATAAGATCAACATGCAAATACCATTTCGTGCTTCACCCAAGCACTTAAATTAACAATAAATTGTCTCGAACATTGTGAATATTGGTATTTTCCAGTCCATTCCCTCGCCACCCCATAGCTCCCCTTCCATCAAAAATTCTTGACAAATATTTAATATCGCAGATGCATTTCTATATTTTTCCCCCTGTTGTCCCCGATGCAGGATAAAATCAAACCAGATATTCGCATACATGTACGCGTGTATATCTATCAGAAATGTCTATTTTGTCAACGAAAATTCGCATATGCGGAGACTAGAGCCGGGCACTGTGCCAAAAACGAGAAAGGGGATTGGACAGCGGGAAAAATATTTTTATATGCATACATACGCATGGAAACTTGAAGTTTGGGAAAAATCTGGAGAAATTGCGAAAAGCAATCATGAAGTAAATATTGAGATATTGACAAGCGTGGCTCCTTGAAATGAGCAGGCCAATCCTCCATTCCATGTTTCCTTATGGCGGCACTGGTGTTTGTTTCAATTTTGTGTTTGCGCACAGGTGCGGGTCCCTTCAAAAAGAAGAAAAATAAAACCTTTATATTTATTTATGACACTGGTAAAAACACTAAAATTAACAGCTGGGAAATGCAAAGGAAACAGCTGGCCTTGAAGCAGTACTAATCTATTTGCAATGAAGTCGCTTTGAAAATTTGTAAAATGTTGAATAAGAATTATATTCATATAAAAAATAAATGTAATTAAAATCACATTAATAAAATTGTCTTAAATATTTACAGTCTCATTTTCTTTGACTCCTTTTTATAAGGGTATATTCCATTCGGTTTACTGCATTTTAACAAGTTGATCTTTTGTTTTATTTTACATCTCGATTCATGGGCTTTCGGCAGCTTTTGGTTGGCCTGTTTTTGCTGTCTGGCTTTCGGCTGCGTTAACTCGACAAACTGTTTTCACTGGCTCAAAGGCGACATAAAGTATATTTTGATTATTTCGTGAGCCAGAAGTTGAGCATTTTAAGGCCCGCCAGCATTTGCATTTCAAATATACTTTTACGAGGGCCCCCCAAAAAACCTCTGCACCCGCATACCGCCCGACACCTTCCCGCAGGATCTTTCGCCGCACGGAGGTGGACGGAATACCACAAATGGCGTGTAAACACAACAAAGAGGTAATAACAATGGCTGCCTGGATGCCAACGAGGTCCCTGACTTCGCGGGTAGGTGGTGACGGAGTGGGGACGAGGATGTGGATGAGGAACTCGTCCGCATTCCTGGAGCCTTTGAGAGGAGTGTGCCATATATAGCGGCGGGCAGAACTCTCTTTCTCGCCATTGCCTGGCACCCGCACTTTCGTAAACATTTTTATTTGTTTCTCCGTAAGCTGTGTCAATACACAATAAATTGAACTGTGCCAGAATTTATGTTGCCACTTTGCGAGGACCCTCGTCCCCCTATCTGCCCTATCGCGCCGGGGGCGTCAATTGCATGTTGGCCACCCCCTGGGGACTTAAAAGTTCAATAATATTTATTTGTTGCTGGCTGCTCTCCGACAACAAAGCACACAAGATTATACTTAGCCTAGGCCCCGTTTATCAAGCCACGCATATTGGCCCGCCTCGTACGCTCGCAGGACTTGGGACTTGGGACTCGGCACTCGGGACTCAGGACCCCCTTACGTAATGGCATATTGCCACACAATAGCCGAGACCGCAGTAAATTTCAGCCACTAAAGGCGATGATTTTTCAAAAGACACCAAGCTAATTTAGTGACCGAATGCCAGCTCGGTCACCACTGTGATTTACGGGGTCACCATTTGCACGATTCCAATTATCTGTTGGTTGGCTTGTGCCTTTAACCTTAGGAATATAGTATAAGCATCTTTTAAAGTGTGATTTTATTTAGTAAAGTCACACCTTGAACAGTGTCTAATTCAGGTGAATAATACTCTTTTAGAAGTTCATAAATGTATTTTAGAAGAATAATGCTAGCGAATATTTACTCTTGAATAATACATTTATGTGTTCGTATAAAGTAGAGTTACTTGTGTTAGTAGATTTATTTTTTCTTCATATTAAATAATCTTGTCTTATTCATAATTAATTATGGTGGCATTCATGGAAAAGCGTTCACAAATTAAAGTTTCAAAGAAAAGGTTTTCTAGGAATTAAGAAGGTAAGACAGAATTTTAAAATCAGGGGAGGTAGATTAAGTCTTCTTATTATTAGTTAAAAAGCTAATAATGTTGGTTTATCTTAACATTTTATTGGCCTGTACTAAAAGATTATATATTCCTTACCAGTTGTTTATAAAAGTTTACTTATTAGGTTGGTTAAATTAATTTACGTAAACCTATATTGGCTCAAACAGATCATATTTGGTCAATACCGATGCAAAATTCACCAAATGAGACCTAACTGAAACCTTTCTGTTGATCTCCTTTTAGCCCACAAATTTCGATATTCATAGGTGACAAAGCCGGAAACTGTCCGCCGGAAACACATGTATTGTTGGTCATCTACAAATAGCGTCCGAGCCGTAAACAAATAAATTTCAAATCTTTCCGTGGTCGCACGGGCCATAGTCCTGCGGAGCGCAGGCGCAGACAAACAAACAGCCGGTCCGAGTTCGATGCCAAGCCCCGAAAGCAGCCAAAGGACACGCTGGAAACGGCACAGACCTGGGGAAGTGCGAATCGAACCGAAACCCGAGCCAGAACTCGCCCCGCCGCAACGGAACGGAATGCAGGAGAAGACTTCGGCGAGGAACGTTCGAAGGAACACAGTCCGCTGGGAATGGGGGTCACTCATGTTGGCGGCACGCGGCTCAGTCGGTAATTTGCATCCTGTGCGCGCGGACGTGACTCGGATGGGAAAGGGAAACCGCTGCCAGAAGCCAATTTTCCGCGATGTCTGACAAAGAAGTTTGCCCGAGACGACGATGGCCGGAGTAAACGAAAAAAGCGTGGAAAATATGCAAAAGTGGGAAAACAAAGAGAGGAAAAATTAAGACAAAGTTAAACCACTTGATGTCCCCTTGGGTGTCCTGTGTCTGTTGTCCTGGAGTGCCGCCTGTCGAGTGTCTTTTGCCGAAATCACTTTTAAAGTTTGTTTGCTTTCGCCGCATTCAAATGGATATTAGAATGCCGCGCTGAAATAAAAACGCAGGAGCGAAAGCAGGACAAACAGAAGCCGAGGATTTCTCCAAGGATGCGTGAGCGTCTGCCGTAACGTAAAAAGGGATTATTGTGCATCATTTCGGCCCATAACCGAATAAAGAGAATAAAATGCGTGGCGAGAAGGTGAAGGAGAAAATATCCTCAAGTCGGATTAGGCGATAAATTGTTACTGAAGTGTAAATGTTTTCTCACGTGTTAAATAGTTAAATATAAGCCCTCGCAGCTAGACATACATACAACGTATATATAAAGCCGCAATTGTTCTATAACTCGGCCATATGGTCATTGAAACTTGTAGCCAAAAACTTTAAACTGTGAGTTCAACGCGGCGCCTAAGAAAAGCCATCGGGAAACTTGTTAAACACTATAAATGGTGCGAGTTCTTCAAGTTTTTTGTGCCAAAAGTTTCGCCCATTAGTCATTGAAAACACTGTGTGATAGTTTTGCATGGCGACCGTGCAATTTATTAACTTTTATGCGGCGGCCAGAGAAAGTGTACCAATAAGGAATACGAGGAAATTTTATGATATTAATTGAAAAACGATTATGAAAGTGTAAGTGGAAAGAAGTTGGCCTGTTTGATTTATATTTCTTGTAAAGTTCAGCCACTTTATTACTTTGCCGATTGAGATGTTGAAATATAAGTTTTCTGAAACAATGTGACATGAAGCAGTTGCAAAAGTTTAAATTTAAATTGCAGTTACCATTGAAATATATTTTTGAGTTTAATATTATTTAATAAATATAAATTAAATTGTGTAGAGTCTTTAACTTCTTAAAAAAACAAAATAAGATGCTAGAATAAGCCTCTTTGTTTTGTACATGTAAATGCCAGGGCTTAGAGGGACTTTTGTTGTTGCGACCAAATAAGTTTTAAGTAACAACCAAAAACCAAATAAATAAATTTGATTTTCATTCAACATAAAGTCTAGTACTAATGCCAGTTTATTTGTTTACTTTAATGCCACTGCAGCGCCAATAAAACTTTACCACTCAACAAAGCCGAAAACACTTAAATAAATATATAAATCAACCAAAAACGAAAATAGTGCAAAACGAGGGCAGAGAGCCCAGAAACTAAACAATGAAACTGCAAGAAAATCGCTTGAGAAAACGCAACGTAAAACTTGTGACAGACGCATAAAGAAGAGTTGCAATTTCGGGTTTTTTGTTCGGAAAACGGATATAAAATCGAATGAAAAAAAAAGTGAAATAAAAAAAGGTCGGAGAAGCCCCAAATGCAGGCTAGAACCGTCTAAGCCCCTTCCCCGAGCGCATTAATTCAATAAACCTATTTATTTGGGACTTCGACTGGGATTTGGCCGGAGGAGCGGAGAATGCGACAAAGTTTGCCAGCCAAGACGGCGCAGTGCAATCAGCAGGTCCTGGAATCGAGTCCTAGAAACCAAAGGAGCCAGTGGTGCCAGAGGAGCCAGATTCGATGCCGCAAACGAGTCCCAATTGGAGGCAGGCGGACAATGAGCGCACAAAAGGCGCTGTAAGTGTCATTGCAGCCAGGAACTGGGCCACTGGGACCGCCACGCAAGACGACTAGAGCCAGAAGAGCACCGTCACCAGCAGCGGAGCCAGAGTCAGGACCCGGATAGCGACGTTGACAACTGAGATGACAGCGGCCGACGGAGACGCAAGGCGGTGTCGCCAGTCCTTCCACCAGTCCTACACACCAGCATCTTGGCGGCGTCTTGGCTCCGTCCCTCCGATCCTGGTCCTGCTTCTGGTCTTTGGCTTTGGGATGCGTAAGTACAGCTCGGGGGCTAGGCTCCCATCCTTGCCTGTGTGCGAGTGTGTGACTTTCATACATTTTTGATTTAATTTAACGCATTCATGTCGCCCACTCCGGCACATGAAC